TCATTTCCTTCTTTTTTTTTTTTTCCTTTTTTACTAAAATAAAGGTCAAAATTACTAGTGCCTTTCCTTTAAAAAAAAAAACACTAGTGTCCTGTGTGTCTATTTCTTAAGTTGCTCAGAGTGGCTGTGTAACACCCAGTTAACTATAAATAATAAAATAAAATAAAATGAAAATAGATGATTAAGACTTCGAATCATAACTCAAATTTTTGCTATAATGATTTCTCTTATAAAAATTTAAATTCAAGTTTTTATACTATAATATTTACTCTAACATAAAGTTACTTCTCAACTCGAATTGAAAAGGACGAAACAAAGGAGACCTTATAAATTTTCAAAATATTGCCTACGGAACTTTAATAGAAACTGAAATAAGTTCTCAAACACCAAATTATTCATATAATTGTAGAACAACTAATTTTAAATACATAAAACAGACCATTATCAGAATTGTCTTGGCCATACAGAAAATTTTCATACATTGATAAAAGCACATAATGCTTAAAAAATTAATAAAATGAGTTCTTACGAAATCACGACACGCTTCAACGGTCCATAAGTTTCCATTTCTTGTGTTTTCTGAAAGAGGAACATGAAGAATGTGAGCTGTATAGTGATTGAGCCAGCAAAAATACGTCCACCTGTTGGACAGGTTGTAATATCTCTTGGAAGATGAAAAGCCAAGGGGACGTTTGGAAGGGGGATTCGTGTCCTGATTCGAATCATGATTCGTGGTTCGCTATAGTACTTTCTTTTACAAATTCTTTTACAAAAAACATACGTAAAACGAAAATGATTCTGAATTCATGAACCAAACGTCCTCCAAAAATCCTGCATAAAAAAGAGAGAAGCAAGCCAAGTGCCAACTACAAGTGGTATATAAGAAAACATGTGATGTGCCATATTGTTTCTGTATGGATGAGCGTATGCTACTACCATACACCGCGCATGGCTAAGGAGTTTCTCATATTTAATATAAGCTGTTGATTTGATCGGACATATGATATGACGGTCAGAACTAAATGTAAACAACTTTAATATCATATGTAGATTCAATAGGTGCAGCGGTCCAACGGTCAGATTAAGTATTTGTTACTAACAAATATATCTATTATAACAGTTATGTCTATTTATGAAAAGACACTTTTTAATTAAAGATTGTATCTTTATAACAGTTATGTCTGTTCATAAAAATTTATTTTTTAACCAAAGGTTGCATTTGTCATGACAGTGGCATACATTCATGTACAGACATGATTTTGGCTATTAATAAGGGCTCCAATATGAGATCAGTTTCATATTTGTTTCGAAATTCAATAATATTGTTAGTTATTGAATTGGAGATTTGTTGTAGATTTGGAGTAATTTGCCAGAAATTCCCGTTAGTAAACTGTTCGTAGTGAAGGCAAATAAAATCTTAAAATATAGTATTCTATACCCTCAAACTCAATTTTGTTTATGTTTTCTTTACTTACGTACAGTTTTCTCCGACCACTTTTCTAACACCACCTACAACTTTCAAAACCTGAGGAGTGTGTAATTCCCTTATATATCTAGAATGATATTTCAATATATATTTTTTTCAAATGTAATATACTTTAGAAAAAAAAGATATTGTTAGGATAATTAACCTATTTTGTATTGGCAATTAATTATAAAAAATATGTATTGATTTTGAGAAGATTTTGGAAAATTGATTTTTGACTATTTTGTATCCTTTTATTGTGTTTCCTAATTTATTTGAATTCATTGTGATAGAGTTTTTTACTTTCAATAACGAGAAACTTCTTGTTTTATTTAGGTACCTTTTGATGGAAAGTTGTTAGTTTCTAAAACAATTTTAGACACAAAGAAAACGGAAGTGTAACTAGTGCAGATCGCCAAAAAACTTTTGAGCAATGCCCTATATATTATAATAATTTACACATAAAATTAAATAATCAAATTATTTACGTACACAGTTAAAGTGATTAGAATGATAACTTGAGTATTTGCCCCGAAATGCTTCTAGATCTTCAAAAACTTTGAATTTTACTCGCCTATTCCTTGACATTGTTTAGACATGTGAGTTGTTGCATTTAGAACAAAGGTATTTGATCATTCTATTAATCTTCTCTCCCACTACTCTTAACACATAAGTAAATTAGAACTTGAGAATTGAATAATTTTTCTTCTCTTTTCTCTCAGTAAAATTCGGCTACACTAGGTAAAATTAGTTGAAGAGGTTTTGCCAATCTCGGTAGGAGGAGATTAATTTATTTTGAGTGATTTAGTTTATAATTCCTTAATTCTAAATTAATATTAAATCTCACTTATTTCGCTTGTCTAGTAGTAAATACAAGGATGACGGGGGACTCATGTATCTATAATTTCAAACCTCAATAAAACTAACAATTTATTGTACTCTTTAGAACGTGAATTGTCTATTTAATATAGTCATTACATATAGATCAATCTTTTATAAATAATTTATAGCTAGTATTAAGTAGAAATCCGTTAACCTATAATTACAAGTTTATCCTTAAGTACCTTGATTTTTTAATGGATAATAAATTTATGAACTTAATCATAAATTGAGTACTCTTACTATTCAAGCCAGAATCAACTGCAATGTCAAGAAAATTTATTAGTGTAAATCCGAGAATTTGTCCAGATTTAGACAATGAATTCCCCATTAAACTGTTTAACTATGCCAACGTGATTTTTGTGATGAAAATTGGAGATTTATTTTGTTGTGTTATTGAAATGCTAATTACAAAATTTTATCACATATGACTATGATTCTATGTAACGAAATTCTGAGATAAGAATATCCTGGTAAATTTCTAGATGGAAGTGTGAGATAAGAGAAATTTTCCTGTTAATGATAGGAACGAGAATTCTTGTCTAAGTCGCGAACCAATATAATCAGATTAAATTAATCTGAGAAATTTGTGATTAATTTCAGTAGGACTTAGAGACAATAATAATGAATAATTCTGTGTTGCAACAATATTAGTAACAGTAAAATCATCATGCCAAGATCATTTCATACAATCGATATAAATTAATAGGTACTGCCAGTATGCAAAGCATACCGAAATTAGCACAAACAGATGAATTAATGATGATTTGATTCCATCAAATCAGCTAGGTAGCACAGGTAGACAGATAGATAGCCTTTGATCTAATGTTAGAGATCTAATAGGATTTGAAAAGTGGCCAAGATTCAATTTGAGGGCATAATCATAATCATAATCATCATAATTATATTCAATCATAATCATAATCATAATCATAATCATAATACTAATACTCATAATAATAATAATAATAATCATAATTATAATCATCATTATCATTATAATGATAATAATAATAATAATGATAATAATAATAAGACCTCTTACGTGGTCTTCCCCAACTTTTACGGGGATATTTTCCCCAACATAACTTGTTAAAAGATTAACATAATTTTTTTGTATTGAGGCGTAACAGTTATTATTTTGAGAATCAAAAGTCATTTTTAAGCATATGGCTATAAACGATTATCATGCACTGCTCCAAACAAATATTCATACATGACCGAATGTGCCTATAAAAAATGACAGATATAATCCTTCACAATAATATTATTCATGTTAAAAAAAGACAGTCGGTTACGATGGAATGACTGATATTAATAGTAAAGACGACATATGTGCATATTATTATTCATATTAAAAATGACAGTCGTTTATTGTCAGTAGTGGAGCCAGACTTCTATTTCAGTGGGGGCATACACTAGTTTTTTGTCTTGAAATAATAAAAACATGTGAATTCATTGGGGCGTACATGAAAAAATCTGTATTTTAATGGGACAAAACTAGAAAATCACAAATTTTTAAAGGCTACTTTAAAAAAAATAAAAAATTCAGTGGGGACAGCCTAAGTGACTCCGCCACTATTTATTGTCATATGCTTAAAAACGACTCCTAATTTCTAAAATAATTACTATTACGATTAATATAAGAGAATTACGTTAATTTTTTGGCTAATTACGGTGGTGACAACTCCCTCATTTTCAAACCGGGAACTGTAGATAAGTCTTTATAATAATATAATAATAAAAATAACAGCAACAATAATAATAAAAGACAGTAGGCGGCAGAATTGGCTAATTCTGTATGGAAAACAAGAGAGAAATTTTGCCCACTTGCATAAAAAACCAATCATATCAAATGAAGATCATGAGATAGGAATAAATCCATAATAAGCTAAGAAGCTATGAACTCGAGATAATAGAGAGCCCTCGAGCAAAAACCTAAAAAGGAGAATTAGTGAAGTGGATATTGGATAATAGAGTGTAAAGCTACTCCATCATCATTAGCTTTAGACCATCTTCACGTAAATACTAATACTAATTATATATTTAATATTAAAAAAATAATATGATATATTATTTTTATTTTTATTTTAATATATAATGATATTTAAAATATTAAATTAACTTTTTTTCATAATCATTAAACTTTAAAAGTTATAATAACAAACTTTTATTTTTTAAAAATAATTAAAAAATATAAAAATTGTAATAATTACATAAAAAAATAAATACTTTAACTAATAGTAATCAAATGTTAAATTTCTCATATGCTATATTTAGTAAAAAATTTGTCACAAAATATAACATATGAGAAATTTGACACAATAAATAACATTGTATTAGAGAGTATTTTTTATATTTAAATACTAAATTTACAATTAACACATCATGCATTAGAGATGCTCTTATTAACTAGCGGGTAATTGAATATAAAGCTACTCCATCCTCATTTGCCTTGTTAACTAGTAAAACAATGCAAGCTACATTTTGAAATTTTCCATTCTCTCTCTTTAATATAGCCGAATTTTTGGGTCCAAAATAGGAAGAAACATTTAACAAATCTCATACTTGTCTATATAAAGAAGAGGATAGAATTAGAAATTACTCATTTTTCATTTCCTCTCCTACGCTTTTGAGAAGCCAAAAATCCTCTCCATTTTGCCTAAAATCCTCTCCATCTCTCAAAGTTTTTCCTGAGAAACCCAAATAAAGCCGTATTATGATATTGTTTTCATGTTAATAAATGTCAAAATATAATTTAGGAATAAAATTCCTAACAAATGATCTTGGAATGCTATCGCTCAACGGCCCTCCAAACTACTTATTTCAATTATATAAATCGTTTACTAAATTGAATGCACCACTTGCATCAAGAAAGAGTACATGTTATACCGAGAAATTCCAGTATTCTTTTTCTTTTTTAAGTTTTTAAGTAAATTCGGAATTGTTTCTAAAGTCTCAATACAGAGTTTCGCAAGTAAACTTCCACCAAATATTTATTCCCCAACCCAAACGCAGTAAAGGGCTATAGATATATAACAGTGTGATAATTTCCTCTTCCACTCGTGATATGAGAAGGGAAAACAAAGCATGAAAACTTATGCAAGCTCATAGTATGCGGCTCGGTGCTTGTCGCAGTCATAATTCTGTCTTGTCTTTGCAGCAAAAAGAAGAAGCAAAGCAGAAGTACTCCCAATCCTAGATCCACGAGGAGTGTAACCACCCCTTCAGATCCACGGTCTTCTCCGGTCAGCGTCGAACGAGGTGAAGGGAGAAAGAACTTCAGTGGAATGCTCAAAACACGTTTGAGTTTGTGGATCCTAAACACACCCTAACAGAGAGTTAGCATGCAGATCAACATTCTCCATCGCAAAATTTTGCAACTACGTCAAGTGCATATAGTTGTTACATTGAGAGCGGACCACTCTAAATCTTGTGTGGTGAAATTCTCGTTACTAAAGTCTTAAGGCACTTAATCGATAACAAACTCCATTGGTGGGAATGTCTCAACAGATTCTGGGGCATCACTGCAATTCATAAATCTAAATATAAGAGCCTTAAACTGATGATAAAAGGCCCAAATATGATCTTTATGCATATAACGCAGTTATAAATTGACCGGTATGCCTCAAGTTTCCTACATCTACTCACTAACATTAATAGGCGAGAGAGAGAGAGAGAGAGAGAGAGCACGTTAAATTTCTGGATCCTATTTAATCAGGGGTAATTAAAATTAGTGAAACTGGGTTTGACACAGTTGATATAACCGAACACTACTAGTCTATACTTGGGGCAGTCTTCAGTTTGATGCTCTTCATTATTCTTCCGTTTATTTTATTTTATTTTATTTTTTGAGGATCCTTCGATTGCAGTTGACAAATATACGAGAACGAGGCAAGCAAACTCTTCACAAATTTTAAATTCTTTTTCATTTTTCTATCACACATATGATGACATGACTATTGGATTCAAATTCAACTGCAAATTGCAGTTAAAAAATGTCATTCAATTAGATATGGTAGAATAAGAAACGAGGGACATAAAAAAAACTCAAACTGCTGAGTCGTATGAGTAAAAGTGATGTAGGATCAATGTGACAATGAGAACAGAGATGAAAGAATAGAAGAAAAGCCACTAGAGAAAAATAGAGAGGATTTAAGAGAGAAATAAGAATTCAAGAGAGAAAAACACTAATTTCAATATTCATAACCCATACTCTGAAATGAAATTAGAATGCTACTATATTTATAGGCAAAACCAAATAACGAAATAGGAAACTAAATCAATATGAAATATGAAAACTCTAGTACTGGGAAACTAACCCTATTGTTAAATGTGGAAATCCGAAGTTGATTGCCTAATCACTAGGACAAATCCGAGTAAATCTTGGATTGATTTTTGTACATTAGCTGTAGTTTATTCTTTCCTTTTTTGTAGTATCCTATATTTCCTTTTTTCTCTTATCTCAAAATTAAGGGAGGTTATTACCATGTTGGTGGCCTTGCCTATTTATATTGTATTTTCCTATTCGTGTTAATGAATCAAAGAAGAAAAATCTTTCTTTCAAAAACTACATGGTATCAAAGCACCCTCTAAACCTGATTATTCCTCTTCTCTAATGGTCAAATACGGAATGACCACTGACAAGAGCAGCACGTCCAACGCCTCCTCAGGCTCAGAAATTGTCACTCATAGCGGCCATAGCGGATCAGAAAGTGCAGTTCTTCCAATCACCGAACACAAGTTAAACGACCAAAATTATATACAATAAAATTATATACAATGGGCCCAGTACGTGATGATGTACATCACCGGCAAAGGGAAGGACGACTATCTCACTAGGGCTGCAACACCTCCAAAGAATGATGATCCGAAGTACAAAGTGTGGAGATCTGAAAAACAACATGGTGATGTCCCGGTTAATCAATACCATGGACAACGACATCGGCCAATACTTTATGTCCTACGGCACAACCAAAGAAATATGGGATGTTGTAAAGGAGTCGTACTCTTAATAATGAAAATACTACTGAGTTGTTTGGAATTAAGAGCACTCTTAACGACCTTCGTCAAGCAGATCTTTTTATCACCCAATATTATAATACTCATTCGGTATTGGAAGCAACTAAAATTGTTTGAAAAAATAGTCTGGGACTATCCAGGTGATGGAATTAAGTACAGGAAAATCGTGGAGAATGAGAGAATCTTCAAATTCTTGCTTGGGTTAAACAAGAATCTTGGATGAGGTTAGGGGAAGGATACTTGGGACAAAGCCCCTGCCATCCATTCGTGTAGCCTTCTCTGAAGTCTGATGAGAGGAAAGCCGGAAGAGAATTATGATGGGAAATCAAGGAACTCCTGCCACATTGAGACCCCCGCATTGGTGCCTCGTGGACCAAGCAATCAAGGAACCAATGATAAGGTTCGCAAGGGCATGCCTTGGTGTGATCATTGCTGACGACTCGGACATAGCAAAGAGACATGTTGGCAAATACACGGCAAACCCGCTGATTGGAAACCAACCAAGTCATTGGCAAACCAAGAGAGCTGCAGACTAAATGTGACAACAGATGAGCAACCATCCGCTGAAAATCCTCTCTTCAACAAAGAGCAGTTGGACCTCCTTCAAAAGATGCTCATTCAGACACAACCAGGACCCTCCACTACAATTGTTGGAATCGGATCAATAGCTCAAAAAGGTAACTTTTTAAGAGCATTTAGTGTCAAAACAGAGAAACCCAGTGTATGGACAATTGACTCAGGCGCTTCCAATCATATAACTGTGATGCTTCTCTATTCCAATATTATCATCCATGCTGTAAGAATTACACAGTTCGTATTGCAGATGGATCGTTATTTGCTGTAGTTGGTATAGGGTCAATAACAATCTCACCAAATCTTGTCCTAAAATCTGTCTTTTTGGTTCTAAACTTGACATGTAATTTGTTGTCCATTAGCAATCACAAAGGATCGCGACTGTGTTACTAAATTTTTTCCAACTCATTGTCAATTTCAGGATTTGAACTCGGGGAAGACGATTGGCAATGCTGAGCAATGTGGGGCTCTATCTCTTGAAGGTTGACAATTCTCTTGATAAGCAAGCTCGATGTGTCTCTGTTCCAACCATAGCTGGTCAATCCACTAAGGATTCTGTCTCTGTTTCAGTCAATAATTTCAATAAAGATAGTGCGATTATGTTATGGCACTTTCGATTACGTCATCCAAGTATTCAGTATTTGTCAATACTATTTTCGTCATTGTTCAATGTGGAAAACGCAATCTATTGATTTTGTAAATAGGATATATTAGGAAAGTTTGAAATTTATATTTTGTATCCCTAGGATTAAGGTAATCAGTTAGTTTCCTAATATCCCATGAATAATGGGATAAGGTGTAATTTAGGAGATTCTACTTTTGTGTATAAAACCCTAAAAGGACCAGCTGTATAGAATTAATTCAGAGAATAAGAAATATTTTTTCTTCTCCTATTTTTCCACATGGTATTAGAGCCCAAGAAATATTTTTTCTTCTCCTATTTTTTCATATGGTATTAGAGCCCTAGGTTTCCTAGGTTACTTTATTTTTCCTTAGGCCTTCATTGTCGTTTCTTTCTTGGCTTTCATTGCCAAGCCTCATCACAGGGCCTTTATTGCCCATATCCATCATCACTTTCTCCAGAAGCCTTCATTACTGCTGTTGTTTTTTTGAAGTTCCATTGATTCGCTGCCGCAACCTTGACTACTGCCACTCTGTATGGAACTGTACGGACACACCGAAACTACCGTTGCCCCTGTTCGCTGCTGTCGTGTTCTGAACGTGGCCTTCATCGGCAAGGGTTGTTTTTTCTTTTCTCTGCCCTGTCGCCACTGTTGTCAGGACGCTTCCGTAAGAGTGCCTGGATTGTATTAGCCTTCATCGCTGGTATTCCATTTGACACAACCGGCCTTAATTGCCGGGAGACCGCTTAGTTTGATTGAGGATGTCGGAGGTGGCCGAGACAACCGCTACAACACGGTCGGAGGATGCAGAAACCGTTAGGCCTCAACAGGTCAGGGAATTGCAGAACATTCAGGCCGCATATAGGCTGGATGGAAAAAACTACCTTAAATGGTCCTGACTTGTTCGGACTATGCTGAAAGGGAAAGGAAAAATCAGCCACCTCTTAGGGACATGACCAAAACCGGAAGATCCACAATTTGAAGCATAAAATGAGGAGGATTCGATGATCATGGCATGACTGTGGAACTCCATGACTCCGGAGATAAGCGATACATGTATGTTCTTGGCCACTACCAAGGATATATGGGATGCAATTCAACAAACGTACTCCAAGGCGAAGGATGCTGCTCAAGTCTACGAAGTCAAAGTAAAGACAATCGCTGCAAGACAAGGAGAAAGAACAGTCACTGAGTATGTGAATCAAATGAAGGCCCTATAGCAAGAACTCGATCATTATAGGGTGATTAAAACCAAGTGTCCCGAAGATGCTGCAGTTATCAAGACCTTTATTGAGCAAGATAGAGTCTATAGCCTCGTTCATTTCGCTGATTCGAGTTTAGAATTCGAGTTTTGCTACAGTAAAAAGCTCTCACAAACAATCACATCTAACTTTTTTGCTACAGTAAAAAGCTCTCACATACAATCACATCTCAACTCCAATTCTAAACTCGAATCAGCGAAACGAACGAGGCCT